CTGCGGGGGTTGGGGAGGCGGCGACCACAGTGCTACACGTGGCTTAAATCCCAGACGCGGCCGAGGTGCAGAGACCGGAGCGGAGTCTGCTGCACACGTCTACACTGAGCTTGTGGGGTGGCCTCCCTTTGCAGATCTGGAACGACTTCATGAACCGGTCTGGGGAGGAGCAGGAGAGAGTCCTGCTCTTCCTAGAGGAGGAGGCCAAGAAGAAGCACAAGAGGAAGCTCCCTGTTAAAGCAGAGGACAAGCGGAAAGGTACCGAGAGGGGAAGGGACGATTGGACGGGACGGCTTTGAATCTTGAAGTGGGCATTACGTCACCTGCCTGTCCCACTGCGCTCTGCTCTGTCCCACTGCGCTCTGCTCTGCTCTGTCCCACTGCGCTCTGCTCTGCTCTGTCCCACTGCGCTCTGCTCTGCTCTGTCCCACTGCGCTCTGCTCTGCTCTGTCCCACTGCGCTCTGCTCTGCTCTGTCCCACTGCGCTCTGCTCTGCTCTGTCCCACTGCGCTCTGCTCTGCTCTGTCCCACTGCGCTCTGCTCTGCTCTGTCCCACTGCGCTCTGCTCTGCTCTGTCCCACTGCGCTCTGCTCTGCTCTGTCCCACTGCGCTCTGCTCTGCTCTGTCCCACTGCGCTCTGCTCTGCTCTGTCCCACTGCGCTCTGCTCTGCTCTGTCCCACTGCGCTCTGCTCTGCTCTGTCCCACTGCGCTCTGCTCTGCTCTGTCCCACTGCGCTCTGCTCTGCTCTGTCCCACTGCGCTCTGCTCTGCTCTGTCCCACTGCGCTCTGCTCTGCTCTGTCCCACTGCGCTCTGCTCTGCTCTGTCCCACTGCGCTCTGCTCTGCTCTGTCCCACTGCGCTCTGCTCTGCTCTGTCCCACTGCGCTCTGCTCTGCTCTGTCCCACTGCGCTCTGCTCTGCTCTGTCCCACTGCGCTCTGCTCTGCTCTGTCCCACTGCGCTCTGCTCTGCTCTGTCCCACTGCGCTCTGCTCTGCTCTGTCCCACTGCGCTCTGCTCTGCTCTGTCCCACTGCGCTCTGCTCTGCTCTGTCCCACTGCGCTCTGCTCTGCTCTGTCCCACTGCGCTCTGCTCTGCTCTGTCCCACTGCGCTCTGCTCTGCTCTGTCCCACTGCGCTCTGCTCTGCTCTGTCCCACTGCGCTCTGCTCTGCTCTGTCCCACTGCGCTCTGCTCTGCTCTGTCCCACTGCGCTCTGCTCTGCTCTGTCCCACTGCGCTCTGCTCTGCTCTGTCCCACTGCGCTCTGCTCTGCTCTGTCCCACTGCGCTCTGCTCTGCTCTGTCCCACTGCGCTCTGCTCTGCTCTGTCCCACTGCGCTCTGCTCTGCTCTGTCCCACTGCGCTCTGCTCTGCTCTGTCCCACTGCGCTCTGCTCTGCTCTGTCCCACTGCGCTCTGCTCTGCTCTGTCCCACTGCGCTCTGCTCTGCTCTGTCCCACTGCGCTCTGCTCTGCTCTCCTCTCCTGCTACATCAAACCATCTGATCTTTCTGCTAAAAGGATCAGCCAGGCACTAGTTAATATTGAGCCTCAGTTTGTTGTGCTCCCCAATCAAGACACACACATCACCTTAACTCTGCCCCACAGGGGATATCAGCCAGGCATCTTCTCTTCTTCGCCTATAAAACACACAAGAGGCAGCAACCTCCCCACCAGAACACCTCCAGCGGAGGGGCAGCATGGCCAAGGGGACTTGTGTGCCGTCAGGCAGCTTGTGTCTTTCTGATCCTTGTGGCAGCAGGGAATTGTTAGGGTGACTACAGTAGCCGCATCTCTTCCTGTTCCAGATCTCCCTTGTCTGTGCTGCCCCTCGGCCGGAGGTGTTCTGGGTGTGACGGTTGCTGCCTCTTGTGCTCTTTGTAGGCTGAAAAGAGAAGATGCCTGGCTGATATCCCCTGTAGGGCAGAGTTAAGATGATTTGTGTGCCTTGATTGGGGCATGCCACCTTCACGCTGCCTTTTCTGGGTTTCCAGCCTTTGAGGGCAATGTTCATTCAAGGCCCTGGCTTCCCTATGCAGCCGGCACATCCCTGGAACAAAACTGGGACGTGCAGATTCTTTAAACCCGTTTTGCTTTGTTTCCTCCAGAGCATCCCGCTTACACGCCGAAGGAATGTTTCCAGCGCATCAGCCGCCGGCTGCGCACCACCCTGCGGAGCAGCTGTCAGGTCGTGGGCTCAGGCCGCTCTGCCTGCGCCGCTGCCGGCGTGGGATCTGCAGCTCGGTTTCGGGCGCTGGCGCGAGCTTTCCTCTGGCCTCTGCGCTAAAAATAGCTGGGAGGACGCGGGCGCAGGACTCTTGGGGCTGAAGGCTTCGCCCACTGGATTCCTGGGAGCCAGGGTCAGACTCTCCCCTCCGTGCAGGGCGGGAGACCGGGGAGACGCGTCGGTTCAAGACCAGGGCGGCTCAGGAGGTCAGAGGCTAGAGCCCGGGGTCAGTCAGGACTGGAGTCTGGCTCTGAGCTGCCTGCCTGCTTTCCTGGGGGTCTGCGGCAGCCCGGGGGGTTCTGTGGCCCACACGCAGGGCGGCCAGATTCCGCTGGTGTCCGGCCGGCGTTACGCAAGCGGGAGACCGATAGGCGCTTCCAAGGGCGCGTTGTTCGACCCGGTAGAAACCGGCGTGGCAGGCGGCGTAGGCCGACAATCAGCCCTTGCTTCCGAAGGGCCCTTGTTTTCCGCTCCCTTTGTTTGTGCTCCTCGGTCTTCCCAACAGCCTCTTGGCCCCACGGTCACCCCCGGGGGTCTCGTTTTTGCAGGGGACCCTGGAGTGTCTGGAGGAGGAGTTACTGGCCTTTTTCTCTGTCACCCCTCAGTCCGTCTACACCGCCCTGAAGGACAATAGGTCGGGGGAGGGGGCCGTGCCCTGCCCGGCCCTGGGGCCCTGCGGGCACCTCCCCAGCTGCCAGTGGCACAACATGGACATGACTCCAGCTTGCGTCCCACCCCCGCAGTGCTCCTGGCTCCGCCCCAGGCTTCTCCGTACTGCTCCGGCACCATCCCTGCTTCCCTCGCGGGGCCTGCAAGCACCCCCCAGCAGAGCACTGCCAGTGACCGACCCGC